ATTCTAAGTTCATCAACCGTTTAATTGCATTTAGATTTACATGTCCTAATCTAATATGCCATAAATCAGAGCACTCAACGGTATAAACAGAAGTAGGATTTTCATTATCAGTAGAAACGGTTACACGGCTCACAGCCATTACATTCATTTTAGATAATCCCTTGTCGAGATAGACACGACCAAGGAGGTACCAAACTTGCTAAGAATAAACTTCTTAGTATCAAACACTAACTTAAATCCATGCTCTACAAGAAGAGATCTGGAGACCAAATTCTTGCGGATGTCTGGGACATGCAGAACATCCTTAAGTTTCAACTCCTTTCCAAAAGTCAGCTTTAGCACCACGGTGCCCACTCCAGCCACATCAGACGAGGAGGAGTTGCCCATGTGGAGCTTCCGACCAGTAGAAGTAGTGTAGTCAGGAAACAACTCCTTTTCGGAACATACATGGCGAGTGGCACCAGTATCAATGTACCACGCCCTTGAGTTATACACCAAATTGGCTTCAAACAGCACAGCCGACATATCCATGTCGGTTAGTTCACCAGGCACAGGGTCGTGTTCAGCAACGAGGGCACTATGTTGTGTCTTCTTCAATCCAGCCTTTTTAGGCTTCTTGCAGTCCTTAGCCATATGGTTCGGCTTTCCACAGTTGTGGCAATTGCCGGTAAATTTCCAAACTTTGGCTGGTTGCTGCTTCCCTTTGTTAAAGGGCTTCCTTTTGCTCGAGTTTCCTTACTCCAGCAAGTTTGCACGAGCTTCCATCATTGGGGCCTTTTCCGAAGACTTCTGATTGTCCTCTTCAATCCGAAGACGAACAACCAGGTCTTCAAGACTCATCTCCTTCCTCTTATGCTTGAGGTAGTTCTTGAAGTCTTTTCAACTCGGCGGCAGTTTCTCGATCACAGTCGCAACTTGGAATGACTCGCTCAGAGACATTCCTTCAGCATGAATGTCGTGCAAGATGAGTTGGAACTTTTTCACTTGAGACACGGCGGTCTTAGTGTCGACCATCTTGAATTCTAGAAATTTGCCGACGACGAATTTCTTCGCTCCGGCATCCTCAGTTTTATATTTCTTTTCCAAGGTAGCTCAAAGCTCCTTGGCAGAACCAACCGAGCTATACACATTGTACAACTCATTAATCACTCCGTTGAGGACATAGTTCCGGCAAAGGTAATCACCTTACCCTCAAGCATCGTATGCAGCTCGTAGCTCAACATTCGATTCATTTTCAGCCACGACAGGAGGGTCGTCTTTCAGGTACTTCATCAAACCCAAAGTGGTCTGGTAGAAGTGCATCTTCTATTGCCACCTCTTGAAATCAAGCCCGTTGAACTTTCCGGGCTTCTCAGCAGTGGGAACATGAACAGCAGGTCGGGGATGATGAACAGCGGGGGTGATAGGTGGTTGAGTTTGTGATCCTCCTCCAGTGGATGCCATCAGTTCAGTAGGTGTCGGATTTTCGTCTTACGATTGTTATACAATAAGTGTTATGATTACAACGTAAATATACCACGAGTATCTACGCGGAACGTAGAATTTTTCTACAATATTTAATTCAACTCAAATTAAATATTTAGCCATAAAAGTTTCAGTCAAAACCGGGTCAAACCCAAGTTTTATAACTGATTTTTCCAACAATTAAGAAGTTAGACACTCAAACTCGGAAAACTCAAATTTTCAATGATATTATTCAAAGTAAAAAACCTGTGTCTCTGAGTTGTTCAAAGAGGCACTATTGCGAAAAGGCAACAGGAAAAGAAACATCTTCCTTGATAATTTTTTACCAAAAAGAACCCTAAAAGAATAAATAAATAAAGAGGATATATCTAATGCCAACCTTATGATTGATGTATATGTGTTGTGTTAAAATGCCCAGGTTTTTGTCCGTATTGCTGCAATAAATGTCATACCGACGATAGTGCTACAATGTGCTTCATTAGCTGCGCAAAAGGCACTACAGCATGCGACCCACCAACACCATCACCATCTATTGCTCAAGACCCTTGAACAACCACATCATCTAAGACTTTACGGTTTTAATGTTTTTCTATTGTCGTTGTACTCATTATCTCAGTGTAACAAGGCAATTTGTCATTACATATATACAGTTATCATATGATACTGGAATTAAAAAAAAAAAAAAAAAAAAAAAAGAACTTGGTTGATCTATTTCGATATCGTTCACGTCTTGTATCGTTCACGTCTTGTTCTATAGGTAAAAATCATAGTAACTTGCCCAGTCGTTCGTATTTTGTACTTTGAAGTATCATGGAGGAAACATGGTTGGAGGTACAGTGGTAGAAATAATATGGTATCTGGTTAGTCAACATCTTCATATCTTAATCTAAAACTCAAATCTCATTTTCTGTGTTTCTCCAAACATTTTTCACACTATTCTGCAGAAGGGAGTTGATTGAGAATTCACAATCTCACCTATCTTCTCTTTCCCTTCCCAGTCGAATGAATTATGAAGCCTAAAAATAAAGTATAAAAATAGGACCACAGATCATTTTATGACAGTTTTTGTTCAGCAAAATTTCATCCACAAACCAACGTGTACCCAAATAGATCACCTCATCTTTCGAATCACGATGCATTAGCGCCAACATTTCACATGTGAGAACCCAAAAGCTCTCATACAAATAACCAAAAACACCGGCAATTGTATGTTTTTAAAGATCTGAAACATCAAACCACATGTACTCTTTTCCAAACTATGATTTAAGACAAATAAAAAAAAAATAGTACATCAAATGGCATGTGGTCTTCAACATAAAATATCGCACAAGCACAGTATCTAGGTGAAATTAAAGTCAGCTGACTTGGTTCGAAGGCTTCCCATTTGAAATGCTAGTTGATGGGGTTTCAGCCGAAGGACCCACTTCTTTGCTGATTAGTTCATGGAAAGTAGCTGGATCGAGATAAGATTGGTATGGGGGCAACCTATGTGACAAACATAGTTAAAAGAATAAAGATTTCACAGAACAGATCACATCACAAATACCAAGGGGTCCTTGATACTTTGAAAGATGGTTGAGGTTTAGGGATAATTGAAGGCCTAATCTATCGGTAATTTTGACTTCAGTAGAAAAAGTATTAGAGAGTGTTCGGGGCAATTTGTACCTGCTAGCAGTAATAGTATGTCCGTCTATATTCATCTTCACATCGAATATATTGCCTGCACGAATAGCAAATAAAAAAAATTAAGTACGACTAAGAATGTTATCTATTTCAATTAGTGACTGGAAAAAACAGTCTCTTTTGCTTATTTATATGGTTTTATTGGGACACTACAAAAAAGAACGAAAGTTCAAAACCGTGTTTACAAGATAGATGGGCTTTCATCAGAATCAAATGTGCGACCCAAAAATGACATAGCCAATAACAGAAATAAAAATGGTCTTCAATTTCATTTTTGCCTACAGTGACCCAGTTATTGTGCTTATTGAGTTAGCTACCTGGAATGATGTTGTAGCTACAAAACTGCAACGGGTTTAAGAATAAGAGATGATGACCCAAGCCAACGATTATTTTGAGGTTAAGTTGAAATAGAATTAATAATGAAAGCACACAGGAAGCTAATGATAAAGAACACTTTTGTGAAGAAACTTACAAGAACAAGGCTCTTGAAACAGATATATTTTGCACTGCAAACAGGATAAACTAGCGCAGGAAAGAATCCAATGTGAAACTTACAAAGCCAAGAAGATATTTACCTCCAGAAATAGTCTTGTCCGAGAAATACTTTGACATCAGATATTGCCTAAATTCAGCCTCGTACCTTTTGAATTTCTCAATATGTTCTTTGCTATCCATAAAGCTGTACAAATATACCATTAAAAGATGAAAATAAAAATAATGTCTCGAATGAAATCAATATTCAGATGCATAAGAAAACCAGGAGAAAATAAATTAAATAGGTTAAACCCTAATATAGATACAAATTTTTCAAATGAGATAAACTCTTCTCTTGCCTTTAGGCATAGATAAGTTCTACCATTATGAAGCACACTAATTTCTTTCTGACATACAAATTAAAACCCCAAAGATATTCACAATTGAAAATATGGAAAATCAACAACAAAATGCCTTCCTTATCTTTTTCGATCTCCTCACCAAGCACAAAAGGAAAGAATAAAGATGGGTGATATGATCCAAGAACCAGAAGATCCAAGACCTAAACTATATATATCATACATATAAAAAGCATTGAGATCAAAGCCAGATCCAATCATCCTTGATGACGATGCCTTTAAGGAAAGCAGCAGCAAAGATTGAACACTCCCCAGAAAGAGTAAATATTATATTTATATATTCGCAATACAGAAACTTCAATTAACAACACACCTAGTAGATTGTTAAAAAAACTGAGATCTGCGCTTCTGCAGCTGGTAGACGGAGGAAAAAAACCCTAGTAGTCATTCTTAAATGGCCTAGAAGGTGAGTATATTAGGTGGCAAAACTGAAAACTCTGAATCCATTGACACTTGGACTTCACTACGGAAGAGCACGTGTCGCATTTTTTTCCTGCATAAGTACAAAATTGCCTTCATTTGGTAAAGTCGTAGCCGTTGGATGCGATGGTTTCAATTACTGAAGAACATTGTACTAAAAATCGGCCTAGGCGGCCGCCTAGGCATTAGGCACCACCCCACAACCTCCGGTTTGCATGAATTGGCTGAAAAAATCAGCCATGCGGTTAGGCGGGCTCGGCGGCCAGACGGCTAGGCAACGCCTAGGTGGGCCTTGGCGCTCCTAGGCGAGCTCGGCCAAATTCTTTATTTTTTTTAATTAAATACTAATTACATTGTTTTGTTATCATGTTTTCTTTATAATATATTAATATAATTATTTGGACTTAGGTGTGTGAATTTATAATAAGTTGAGATAGTTTTATTTTGTAGGTAGTGAAAATAAATAAAATATAAGGTATTTAATCTTAATTTCGAGGCGCTCTAGGTGCTAGGCATTGGTCGGGTTAGCGACTTCTAGAACACTACTAAAGAATCAGGTTATAACCATCACTACTCTGCTGACATCATTTTTACCACCATGACCATCTGAGAGTAGAGATCATAAGATTGACTACAGTTAATATATGCC